TCAAAAATAGTCTACGCAACATACGATTTCCAAAAATTTCTCAACTGCCTTTCCGGGGGAAGTATCTCTCTTTTATTATCACCGATACATTTTACTATTTGCGATACTGGTATTAGAAGACCACACAATATTGGTAAACTTGGAGCAAACGTCGCAAACTACCAACCGGTAGCTGTTTATTAGATTTTGTTGAATAAAATATACCTAATGATGCAGTAGACATCGAATTTTGGTCCGACAACTGCACCAATAAATATAATGTCTACATCACACAAAGATTTCGTGTTCATGCACGGGTTTTTGTGATATTAAAATTTATATATTTTTCATAATCTAAAAGATTCTTGACAAATTAATTTTATGTAATAAATATCTTAATACAAACCAACGTTTCGGGGTTACAGGTCCGGAACCTGACGTCAGTCGTGATTATGGGACATGTAAAGGGCCCGAATGGTTGGTTTGTTTCATAAAACAAATACAGGCGATTTAGATCCGAAAATAAAAATTGTTTCATTTCCTAAGTGTAACAATCGCGAAAACCGATAAACACCTTATTGTTTTATTAACAGTAGAGCTCCTTGTGAAAGTTTTACCTTTACTATTTGTGCCGTCAAGTAGTACAAGTACCGGGTTTGAAGGGTAAGGATTTTGGTGAAATTGGTACACGGGACTTGCCAAATTATGTCTAAGGGTGATAGGCGCAGTAGCAATAAGCCCTCAGATCTTTGCGATTTAAAGCTCTGAGTGACACTGCAACTGCTATGGGTAGGTGTGTAGCTTACCATCAAGCGCACAACTTGTTCGTGTCGTCATTTAATATTGTATGTAAAAAAAGAACAAGATTGAAACTTGTCATGTTACTTATTTTTTAGATTTTATGTTACAAAGCAAAAAAAATATTTACATAAAAAGACTCAAAGAACTCATGCTACAGTACAAAAGTTCATTTAAGATATTATAGTTAAAAGTTGATTGAATTTGTCTATGTTACTCGTAATGAATTCCATACACAAAATTAATTTATTTCATGATTAATAAATATACGTTCTCGTTCAGACCGTAAATTACTTGTTATAAATAATCGAAAGTGTTAAACTTTTATTGATTCTTTAAAAGCTGCCAAAGAAAAGTACCGAAACTGGTAGATTCAGTATTTGTTCAAATTTTACAAGCCCTGAATACTAACGAATCTACCACTTTCGATTAATTTCTAGCAAATTCTAACAAGGTAAACCATTGAATGTGAAATATCTAGAAAAATACATAAAATTTTTAACTCATGCTAAGGCCTAAGAAAAACACATAAAATGAGCTATCTGTTTTCAGGATTTTATATGACCGGATAAAGTACATCCTATCGTGTAATACATTAGCACATTCTTTAGATAATTTCCTTAAGTGTATCGTATATGTTTTGTAAGGCCGTTATTTCATATTAAATACCTAAATCATATAGTTCTCTGCTGATGTTCGGCATTTCTCTACGTGATCGAATCTGAAATGAGGAGATCCGTCTATGAACGAAAGTTACCGACATAGCTCAAAAGATTAGCTGGTTGAAGTGGCAATGGGCAGGGTACATAGCTCGTAGAACTGACAGCCGTTGGGGCGGAAAGGTTCTCGAATGAAGAACCCCGGAGTGAGTTCAGCGGGACGGCCACCTACTGGATAGATGGATGACTGGGAAGGGTGGCGGGTAACTGATGGATGCTCGTCGCGTCCGACCGGCTAGCCTAGCAATCTTTGGGCCTGAGCAGTGGACGTCTTCCGGCTGATATGATGAAACCATGTTATAATCTAACAAAACAGTTTAAACAGCTTCTCCTTCGATGACTCTGCTCTAAGCTGTAGCTCTAAGATCAATGAGGGTTTATCCTTCCACAGCGATTCGCTGTAAGAAGTATTTTTTAGTTTGTATTTACATTTCCCTTCTACATAATTATGAATCTTGAATGCACGAATGGAATTCATTCAGTAATATACAGGGTGTCCGGTAAAGAATGGATAAGCCTGAAATGCCTTATAGTAGAGTTTATGAACGTTCAAAAAAAATATAAAGAAAAATATAGCCCGTGTAGTACCTAAGGTATATTTTTTTCTTTAAATTTAATTATTTTCATTTCGTTTTTGTACGCCACAACTACAAGTTAATCAGTTCAGTATTTGGTTTTTGGTGTCATAATATTCTATATTAACTGTGCTAATAGATAGGCAGTAAAACGTAAATTTAAAAAAGTTTTATTTTATTTTTCAGTGCAAATTTTTTTTTTACAAAGCATGTTTGACATAAAAAAATTAAGATAACTTGAGTGGCCAACTATTCTAAAATAATGTGTGTTTAAAGTAGATTTCAAAATGGTATAATTCATTATTGTATTTAATATAAATAGAAAATTATTGCTATTAATGTGCAAAAGGAGTAAATTTGACTAAAAACTAATTTTTCAAAATTGGAACATTTTTTGTCCTGAATTAAGCTTGACCATTGAGGTTTAATAAAAAAAACAGTATTAGACATAAATACAACTTTATTTACAATTTGTTTACAGCAAATGTTCAAACTGTTTGCCACCGATACCGATGCAGGCTCTACATCTTCGAATAAACGCCCTTTTGAGTAGCCGCATCGTCGTTCACTTATTGTTGCAGCGCCTGTACTGGCACGGCTACGTACGAGTAAGTCTTCCAAGGACCTGATCGGCTTACTATAGACAATTTCCTTAAGGCAGCCCCAATAAAAAAAAATCCAGTGGATTTAGGTCCGGTGAACGCCGAGGCCATAAAATTGGCACCAGACATATAATGAACATAAATAAAATTTTACTACCCAAATTATACAGAAAAAGTTACAAATCTCCAACAAGTCACCACGTCGCGTCAGTCCAGATTTTAATTATTTAATTTCACAATTTAAATGTTTGCGTAATTCGAAAATATTCGATTGTAGAGCAAAATTATACAGCTTTTAAAGAACCATTCATAGACAAATTTTCTCCGAATATAAATTATTCAGAAATAACCTATTTTATATTTCTCGTTTGGAATGATTTCTTTTTTTTTGTCAAACCTGTGTAAATTAATTTTAAAAGCGAACCATTTTTTAAACTCGACTTTACGTTTCAAATATTGTTCCAAAAAGAAACTAGATAATATTACTATAAAAAATAATAATTATTGTACCTATCTGAGATCTTTCATTTATCAACAACGTTAACCGAACCAAGGGCACAAATTACTTAATAGTTACTACATACGTAACAGATACATCACTCTCATACAGAATCGAAAATACCTACATTATAATGGCCTACTAGGCATGACACCAGGCGCTCACTACGAAGAAAAAGGAAACTAAGCACGCGCTCAGAGATGTAAATAACGTTGCTGTCCGTCTGCAGCTGTGCGGACCCGAATGCGCTGGGGTTGTACAAAGATTGCAATTTAAATGGAAGATTGGTTTGAGTGCTTGTACTGCCGGCGATACACACAGCGGTAGACCCTTATCACGTAACCTCGAGCAAGTGACAAAGACATTCTACGGCTTCACTAATAGACAGACAGCTATCGACGTTATAGGCGCCCCTATTTCCATTTCGTTTGCAAAAAGAGATGAGCAAGCGCCTGGATTTTAACCCGGTGCTTTATTAACGCCAGGTTTACGTATGTCTATCAGGTTAAAACTAGAGATGGGCCTACTAGTCGCCGACTAGTCGGCCATTTTTGTAGTCGGTGACTAGTCGGTGACTAATCGGCTAAAACCGCCGACTAGTCGGCCCACTTCTCACTCATGTTAATTTAATATGCTTAAAAAAATTGAGAGGGTGATTGAAATAAAATTGTTATTTTACTTTTGTTATTTTTTTTTATTATAAGAATCAGTCTCACAGTTTCAGTTTACAATACAATCTAATAGTGGGTTAGAAAATTAAAAAAGAAAGTCTTCCTTTGGTCTTTTTTAAAATAACAAATATAGGTCAAGCAGACAATTATTGGTAATAAGTAGGTTTACTTAGAACTTAAAAATAGGAACTCTTCATTTGTCAACACCTTATATTATTCAATCTCGAAATAAAATAAAACAATACTTCTAACAAAAATAAACTAAGTAAGTATGTTTGGTTCAACAAACGTATTTTTAGCAAAATATTAGAAATAAGTAGGTAGGTTTACTTCACACTACAAGTTTCAAATAGGAACTTGTTCTATATGTACATAAACAAGTTCCTATTTCAAAATAATAAATTGTACTGAGATCTAGAAATCAAATAAAAACTAACAAAAAAATCTAAATTCTACGATAGCCTAATAAAAATTTAGGTAACAAACAAAACAAGGTACTACTCATCATTAATCAAAAAATGCCAATAAAGACTAAAGTTTGACTAGAGTGTTCCTCTAGTTTTTATATTTTTTAATAAGGGGCAAATTATGATGCAGAAAGACTCAAGTTTCTGCTCTTTCTGGCAGCAATCGATTTCTTTTTGTTTCATATACGTTGCCAGCCTCAGAGAAGAGTCTCTCACTGTAAACAGAACTAGCTGGACAACAAAGGTAGACCTTAGCGAGGCGCGACATTTCAGGATATCTAAGACTGTTACGGCTCCACCACTCAAATGGGTCGCTGTTGCGATTTACAACTGGTAACGTAAAGTAAGAGTGCAGTTCATGAGCGGCACTTGACTTCTCATCGTGAACATCCTCGATTCTCCTTGATACCAAGTCATTGTAGCATTGCCAGAAATTACGATGTGTTGCTGCTTCTACATTGTCTCCGCCAGTGCTGCTTTGAAGATGTTGACCTTTATCTGTCTCAGCAGTATCATTCCACCTAGTAGATACGTCTTGACTGGTGGTCTGGTGGTCTGGTCTTGTCTGGTGGTCTGGTAAGTGAAGTTCTCGCCGCAAATCACGAAGTTTTGACTGAGCTATATTAGAATGGTTAAAATGCGTAACAATGCGTCTGGATTTTGCAATAATTTGTGCCATTGTATCATGTTTTAATGCAGCATGAATGGCCAGTTGTAAAGTATGGTGAAACAAGGAACTCCATTAAAAATCGAGTCATCGATGGCTTTCGCCACATTTCTGCCATTGTCTCTTACAATAGCATGAATTTTATCACTGTTTATATCCCACAAAGTTAGAATCTCTTTGAGGCAGTTTCTGATATTCATAGCTGTGTGTGTAACTGGGAAATGTGTCATTTGTAGGACTGCATGATGAAACTTGAAACTATCATCGAACCAGTGTGCTGTGAAACTTAAAAAACTTTCCATGTTGTTAATATTTGTCCACAAATCCGTTGTGACTGAAATCGCAGCTGCACTGAGCACTCCTTTACGAATTTCAGTCTTAGTTTCTTCGTAAAGACGTGGAATAATATTGTCAGTGAAAAATTTTCTACTTGGTAGGTTATATTTTGGTTTCACTTTTTTCATAAAGTTTTTGAAGCCTGTATTTTCAACCATTGATAACGGCTGGTAATCCAGGGCAATCATTTCACCAATGGCAACACTAACTATCTTTGATCTAGAATCTTCATGAGACCACTGTACGACAAAGCTTTCTTCAATATTTTGCTGGTATTTTTGAGATAAACTAGCTTCTGAAGAACCTGGCAAGATTGGAGTTGGTGGTAGAAGTTCCGATTGTGGCTGTGACTGCGACTGCGACGTACCCGGCGACGGATCCTCTTCTCTTGACAAACTACTTTTAATCGCAGAACCTAGTTGAGGCATCAGTAGTGAATGTTTGTACTTAATATGATTAGTCATGCTCGTAGTATTTGCCTTTTTCCCCTGACCACCACGAGAAATAACTGTTTGACACTGATTGCACTTCACTTTACTGCTTCCTTCTCCCTCTAATTCATCAAAAAAAAATCCAAATGCGTGATTTCTTTTTCGACATAACGCAAACTATCTCAATTAGTTACTTTCACTATTCATTAAATTATTTGCACTCTGTTAGCTTCGTAATTCAACGTTATATAATTTTAATTAATTAAAAACCAATATATCACCGTTTACAAATAAATGAATGCCGCAGAATGAACGACGTAATGTCAACAAAAACATGTCCTGACAGGTCCGCGTGGGCGCCGGCCGCAGCGCCTACGCTACGAACCTAGAGCGCGCTTACGAATATTTCCGACGTCACCCGAATTCTACCGAAATTAATGATCGGCCTAGCCGACTAGTCGGCTAGTCGGCCAAAGTCATAGTCGGCCCATCTCTAGTTAAAACCCATTAAGGTCCAAAATCGAGGTCAACAATTGTAAATCGAATTTTATTCAAATTTAGTCATATTAAGGGCGCGTTCAAATTAGCCGCTGTTAGTCGCGCTGCAGCAGCGCTGCAGCCGCGCGGCTGCCGGGTGACCGCCGCGCGATTGTCACTTTTCACACAATTTCTAGAAGCGCTGCAACCGCACGGCGGCCGCGTGACCGTCGCGCTGAAGCCACGCTCAGTTGCATCACGGCTAGTGAGGTGTAGATGTTAATTTTTCAAATTAACTACGATGAACGAAAATCGAGTTGAAGAATCTATAGAGAATGCAGAACAACACCTTGCAATATGGGATATCAGTTCCACCAATTATTCTAATCGACTGGAAAAAAAGGCATGGGAAAATTTGTCTAAAATTTATTGACAATTTTGAAACTAAAACTACAAATTAAAAAAACAGCAGGTTGTGAGTAATTTTTAATATTTATACGTGAAGTGTGTGCTCCAAGAACTCTGACCCCCCTAACTATTACCTTTTGGTTCTGAATACAAGTGTACGTAAAAACGTAAAAATCCCATAAAAACCCGTAAACAAGGCGAAAACTATTTACAAATATTTTTCGTAAATCAAGTTTTGTAACTATTTAATGGTAGTATTCATTTTGATTATTTTGACAAAATAAAGATAACGAACGGATTCTAAAGGTGCCTACGATATTGTCGATCAACAACGAGAATTATAGACGTTTCGAGTTGTTTGGGAGTGCTCATTGAGAATCTGGCATTAAGTTCTATATCCAAGATGGTTGCCAAGAATTTTCAAAAATTTATTCACATCGACAATGTCGATGATACGGTGTCGAATAAAATTTGGTGGACGCCGTTTCCTTTCACGATTTTGGGTGAAAAGGATTAAAATCCGACTTTGTGTAAAAACCCGGTTAAAACCCGGACGGGTGACTGGGTTCTCTGTTTGCGAACATTGACATGCAAATCGACCAGATGTTGCCGTAGTTCTCGAAGATTCCATTGTATTTTAACAAGAATATATTCTTTTCTACCAAAAGATAGCGGCGTATCGGTTTCATGGATGTTGGAGTCAGTCCCTAAATTTAGAGATTAAAGATAATTTAAATCGAATATATAAGAAGGCGGTAAATCAAGCCAGTAAATGGAAAAATCTAATCAATTTCTTGGAGGGGCCAGTATCTTTTTAATCTAGGTTCTAGATTTGTTGCATTAAATGACTTGGACTATGGGCTTGGGGTATTCATGTTACACATACACGGAAGAAAACACAGTGGAACCGCTGTCGCCAAAACTCACACAACCTTGATGTTAAACACTACAAAATCATCATAACGATTGGTCTTAGTTTCTAAATTAAAAGGTGTAACAAATTCTGGAACGTTAATATAATTTAAACTTTACTGTGTGGGCATATCATTGCAAGATACGACGTTTTGATTTTATATTGAAATTTCATTCAATGTGCTGCCATCTAGCGGCAATAGTTGAAAGTCGTATGAAACAACGAACGATTAACTCCTACTAACATTCTCCAAAAAAATGAACCATATTGCAGCGGTATGATGTTTACTTTCGTTTTTTTATTACAAAAAATCTATTACGATAAACAGAAAATCGAAAAGTTATTATAATTAATTGCACTATAAGGCACTTTCCCACAATTTTCGAGGTTTTGCGTGAGAAAATTATTGACACGACCATAATGGGAAAATGGCAGTTTGAGCTCAAGTATGTAGCACTCCGCGTACTGTTGGCACACGTGTCACGACCATTAAGCACTTCTACTCTATTTATTGTTCTCTCGTAGAAAAGGTGTTTCTATTTCCGGAAATAAGTACTGGTTTTCTGCACGGGTAAAATAATTTCGCGTGGAATTCAAGAACCATATTGTGTTCCACATTTTTCTTGTTTGATATTTTAATAACGAACGACTGTCTTTTGTTTCCTCCGATTTTGGTTCATGCTCGAAAAGTTTCGAGGCGAGATTATGTTTGCTTTTCGTCACTTACAGATGAAAATTATTTGCGCCGATGTGAATAAGGGTGAAGCCATTGTTCAACAGAATTTTATTCATTCCTATAAAAAGAAAACCAGTACACTTATTAGACAAGAACAACCAAAAGGGTCCGTGCGATATTGTTCACGTTTATAATAAAACGGTGAATAGGCTACCCATTCGCTATCATCCGTATAGGGCTTAAAAACCCAACTCAAACATCGAGGAGTCTAATACCTCTTTAGCTTTTTCAGACATTTTTACTTCAAACTTAATAAAATTAAAATTTATCTACAAGTATACACTATCCCTGTTCAGAATGATATTGTTTTATGTCTATCTTAGGGTCGTATTCTAGAACTCTACTCAATGCTTAAGTCAGGACTTGAGTATGATTCAAAGCACTCGAAATCATACTCAAGTCCCTGCCATTAGGGTCGTATTTCCAGTGCTTGTGTTGCCAGTGCAATCCTGACTTGAGCATTGAATAGAGTTCTAGAATACGAACCTAAGACTCACTTCTTTCCTAAGTTTGATGTCAGTCCCGATGTTCTTGATTAAAATCAGCAAGATTCATAATTTATCAATAATCATAACATCGGGTCAATGAAGAAATACTAACTTTTCTATATTGTCTCAGGTGTTTGTGGTACGGTCGTTCGTTCTGATTTGAATAACACAAGCGCTTTAATTACTTAATTTCAGATCAGAGCAACGTATGTGATGTTGTCTACAATTATTTATTTATCCGCTCACGTGATACATGCAGCCGTAGACGCATACCACACCTAGAGGTGCCGGTAATGATTTTATACCGATTTATCGGATATCGAAGTTATAACAGGTAAAAGAACTAATATTAATTGCTCTTTCGGTAACTACTCTAGCAAACCATAATGTTTTTAATGCCTGGGTCTGTCATTTAAAAAAAATAAACAACTTCAAAAATACGTCACGACAATCGTGTGTGTTATGGTTTGGGCTGGTGATTTCGGTGTTTATTCATTGAAAACATACCGTAAGTAGCGTTTTTCAAGTTTACCCTGAATATAAATGTTTATAAACTATACTTTAAGGAGTAATTTCATGGTCCATTTTGCGGTAGGAAGAGCGCATCGCGTGAGCGGTTATTTAACAATTATACATGAAAAATCACGAATAACTATAGCATAAAAATACCGATAATACTGAAGAATAAATTACACTTACTGCCTTATTCCAGCAGGTATGTAAAATTATCCACAATAAGCGACAAAATGGTTTCAGAGTACCAAAATATATAAAAATAGAAAAAAAATTTTTTGTCCCCTTCTGTATTGAGCATTTTCTTTTTTAATACCATGGTAATACTTGTTATTTAATTTGAAAATTACCATGAGCTTTTCAGTGAAGAAAAACGTTGCGATGAAACCTGCACATCACAAGGTTCACAACCCTCGGAAAACATGTGAAGTCTCGCCTGAGAAGTGACCCGTGCCCAACAGTAGGACGTATAAATAGTGTAATGATGATGATGATAATGAATTTTAAACAGTACATTATAAATAACCTTAGTTAAATTCATCGAGGTGAGATCAATATTCAGATACTTCAGTTAAATTCAGAAGTTATCTGAAAGAAGAAATTAATCACATAACACAAACAGTAAACAGTAATTACGTTCAAACCAAAACAACGTCAGCCAAAGGGTAACGAAAACACTTTGATATTTCAATTAAAGGTTAGGTCGTTTGCATCGTCTTAACGGAACTTCTTTGTCAATACGATGCGGTAACGGGTTTTTGGTTGATTTCTTTTGAACTGTTAGTTGTCTTGTGTATCAACGCTCCATTTTTAACTCTCAAGCCAAAAAGAGGGGAGTTTTAAATTTGAAGCCTCATTTGTGCATCTATGTGTGTGTCTGTGGCATCGTAACTACTAAATGGGTAGAGTGATCTCAAAGCGGTTATTTTATGTGATTGTTCTAGCTACCGTCCACTAATTCTATACTTCTTGTACCATGTTATAATGTGTGCTCCGTGCCTATTAAAATATTTAAAGAAGTAATAAATATATTTATGTTCAACATCAAGCTACAGTCCACGCTCCCAACATTGGTCCTTCGAGCCGGATTTTGTTTAAAAATCATCAGCTCTTTTCTCAGTTGGTCTTCTTCTCAGACATAGTATAATTATATTTCGACTTATCGACTTCGAATTATCGACTTAAAATTTAGTTAACATTTTGTAGAAATCCGTTGGACATTAAAATAATCTTGATCTGATGCTGCAACCAGGATGTTCTGCAGACTCCCCAACTCCTCAAATACTTACAGTAGACTGTTCGGTTTTTTTTTATTTGAACGGAATCTTTTGAAGACTGACTCCTGCGTAGCGCATACCTCGAGGTAATATCATTACGCTGAAACATTTCTAGAGTAGTATAATAAATAATATTAGACAACATCACTTAAGTCGCTCCAAACCCAAATCGCATAGAGTTTTAGCAGCAGTAAGTAGAGCTATTTGTGAAAGAGTTCGTC